GGGCGCGGGGCCGCCGTGCGGGGCCGCTCCGGCCCGGCTCACCTCGGGATCGGCGGCGGCGGCGGCCGGGCTGCCGCTGCCTTCGGACTCGTTCACCAGCGAGGACTTGAGGTCGGCCAGGTCGCGCTCGGTGAAGGCGTTCTCGGGGATCTTCTCCTCCTGCTCGCCCTCGTCCTTGAAGGCCAGCATCTCGTCCGTGGCGCCCAGGTCGTCCCCGCCGCCGCTGCCCAGCTGCGGCATTTTCCTCCCGCCGCTCCCTCCCCGCCGCGCAGCAACTTTCCCGGCGAGTATTGTTCTCCCGGATCAAGACCTTCGCAATTATTTTTTTTCTCTACCTCAATTATTTTTTCCTTCTCTTAAAAAAAAAAAATTAAAAATAAAAAAATAGCTCCCTCTTGAATTTTTAAAGTTTTTTCCTCCTTTCCTTTTAACTTTTGAACTTTTTTCCCCCCTTTAATTTTGCTCCCCCTTTCCAAACTCCCTTTAAATCTCTCCTTTAAAAAAAAACAAACAATTAGACTTGCTTTCCCCTCGTCACTCTTTTCTCTGCCCCCCCTTCTTCCCTCCCCGCTCCGGCGGCTCGCGGGGGGCTCGGCAGGCTGCGGGCGGGCAGGCGTCGCGGGATGCCGGGCTCCACGGGCCCCCCCGTGCCGCCGCCGCCCCCCCGCCCTCCGAGCCCCGGGAAGTTTGGCTGGAGCAGCGGGCGCCGGCGGCTGGCGGAGCACGGAGCGCCCGGTCCGACTGCGAGCGCGGCGGCGCGGCGGGCGAGCGCTGCGACATCAAAGCGGCCGCCGGGTGATTGGCAGCGCCGGGGCGGGGCCGGGGGCGGGCACACACAGGGACGGGGACACACGGACACACAGACACAGACGGAGGCGCGCACACGCGTACGGGAACACGGAGACACACACGGACACGCTCACTGGCACACGCGCTGCCAGCCAAGTCCTGCATTAAAGGCACAGGCAGCCCCACACCGCGCTACGGCGGGGTGACACCCTCCCGGGCCGGCTGCGGGGGTGCGGGTGGCCCGAGGGTGGGCAGCAGCGGGGGCTTGGTGCAGCCCCGGGTGTGTGTGCACGTCTGTGACACGCACGCATCCCTGCTCGCACATCCGCACACACACCTGTGCCTACCTGTGCGCACACACGCCTGCACACACGGACGTGCTGCACGCACATCTGAGCACACACGCACACGGCCTGTGCACATCTGTGCCCGGCCACATTCCTGCACACACGCACCTGCACACGCACCGCGGCACAAGCTCGCCTGCAGCCACTCCTGCATGCCCACGGCAGAGCACGCACCTGCGCCGGTCGGTGCTTCCTCACACACACGGCTGCAGGCACACATCCACATTTACGTGTGTGCACACACATCAGCATGTGTCGGGGTCTGCACGGCCCCACACAGGTCTCTACAGGGGTGTGTGTACAGCTACACACACCTGTGTACACACCGAGCACGCACAGCTGCACATCTGGCACACACGAGCACTCGCACAGCAGCACACGGCAGTGGGATCCACACACACCCCTGATGCATCAGCACAAAAGAACATGTAAGTGCACACATCAGCACTCACAGCTACACACCTGGTACACACAGGCATCTGTACACACACAGCTGCACACACAAACACATCTATGTGCTCACATGCACCTATGAATCCACAAACACAGATCAGCAGCACATGACTAAACATAGAGGACAGAAGGCCAAACATGGCACTGCTGACACACATCAGTGCATGTGTGTGCACACAGACACATCAGCTCACTTGAGAACACAGCACATGTGTGCACGCACTGAGACATCAGGACATGTATGTGTGCACAGAGGGACATGGACAAACAGACACACATGTACAAAGCAGGACATGAGGATGTGTATGAGTGCACAGAGAGACATGCACGAACAGACACACGTGTGTACAGTAAGACATCAGGATGTGTATGTGTGCACACAGACACACCTCAGCAGGTGTACGTGTGCACTGAAACTCATCGGGATGTGTGTACAAACACACACTGCAACACCGGGACTTGTGTGTGTGCACAGACAGATGTGAACACACACACACACACTGACACAGCAGGGCATGGACACCTGAGCTCAGGCACACACAGCACACGTGTGCACACCCACACTGACACACACACACACACTGACACAGCAGGGCACGGATACCTCAGCTCAGGCACACACAGCACACATGTGCACACACACACTGACACATCAGGGCATGGATACCTGAGCTCAGGCACACACAGCACACATGTGCACACACACACTGACACACACATGTGCACACACACACACACACACACACACACATGACACATCAGCCACGGATACCTCAGCTCAGGCACACACAGCACACGTGTGCACACACACCCACACACACACAAGCCCACAGCAGCTGCCATGGCCAGCTGTGGGTGCTGACACACCCGTGCCACACGTGGGTGCCCCTGCCACCCGCCGTGGGCAGCGGGCACGGGCGCTGCTCCTGCCACCGCGCCCGTGGCCCCTTCGCGGCACAGACGTGACGTGGGGTGGCAGAAAATTATTAGTTTTCCTGCCTGGCCCCGAGGGTCAGGAAACAAGAAATTACCATCTTCGCAGCCCATTTTGAAGGCACTAGACACTTGTGTGTCGGCGTCGGAGGGTTTTTTAAGCAGTTCCCATGGAAAAGGAAACTCCCCATCTCTTCTGATCACACACGACAGGTCCTGTGCATGTCTCCAGTAGCTTAAAACAACACGCCGATATTTATTTTCCTTAATTAAGATTGCACAAGATAGCCCTGGGTCCTGGAGACTTTGCTACAGACTGTAATGACGCCATGTAAATTGTTTTTTATGACCCAATATACAACATATTGTCACATTCAGCCCTTGAATAGGAAGCTAAAAATCTTGGTCCCTATTTCTCTTGTTAATTAGGGTATTATTACTAGGGATATAATCTCATTACTTTTTGGGGAGGAGAAGAACTAGTTGGAGCCACTTTGAAAAGTACTTGAATATATTTAAATGGAGCAAAATCTGTCTTTCTGCTAATTGCTGATTTTGCATGACACAGAATTAGTGTTCTGATTTTGGGGCACAGTTGATGCCAGCCTGAAGAAGATGGGAAGGATGCTGTTTGCTTTTTTCCTGCTTAGTTTTCTCCTCCAAATGAATAAGCTGCCCCATAGGAAACTCCATTGGCAAATTTCCATTCTTTTAAACATCCCAAAAATAAAACAAGATGCAGCCACTTTGAGGAATAATCATTTGAATGAAATATTTGCTACTTTAAGATTTTTTTTTCCTTCTTCTTTCAGATGATCCTCTTGTTTTGCATGTGAAAAAAATCGTCTGAGATTTACAGCCCTCCCAAATGGAGATAAAGCCTTGGCAATGAGTTGGAAACCTGTTGTAATCTGTGATCCAGGAAACAAAGAGCCTCATTAATGCAGAGACTTTGGTGAGCCTTTGATGTTAGCTAGCATAGCATTCACTCTCAGTTCCATTTGCATTTAAACATTCATAAAAACATCATCTCTGCTTCCTTTGCCTTAAGCAATTTAGGAGTAAAGTATAGCTTCTATTTAAAGAAACCCACTGTGGTGAGGCTTAGAATACAAATATCACATAATCTTCAAGCAGAGCAAATATTTTATCCTACATTTCTGGTGGGCACATTTAATAATATTATATGTAAGACCCAAAATAAAACATCCATCTTATTTTCATTAACCTTACACCACATACTCGAGTCAAAAGAGAAAGCGGGCCCTGTTAATTCTAAATATACTACATACCAATTTGTGGAAGGAAGAGAATCCACAGGATTTTACATTATTGACAAGAGCTGAATTTTTGAAATCTGCATGCCTACAGCAAGGTGCCTAAATCTGTATTTAGGCACACAACACTGAAAACTGTGAACAAGTTCAGGTTTATATATATATGTATATGTATTTCTGGACTGCAGAATCTATGTCCTGGTTTGAAAATGGAATAAAAATTAAAAAAAAAAATTTTTAAAAAAACCAGAGAAGTAAAACAAAAAAACAAACCCAACCACCCAACCAAAAAAAAAAAAAAAACAAACCCAAAAAAAAACCCCAACCCAAAAAACCCCACCCCCCCCCCCCAAAAAAAAAAAAAAAAAAAAACACCAAAACAAAAAACCCTAACACATGAAAATTTTCTTCCAAGAGAAGGCACTGTTGCTCCCAGATGGCACCTTATGGGAATGACAGTATATGGGGAATTTGGGGACTCATTTAGGAAGCAAAGGCCTGTCCATCTTATTATCTTCATCAGTATTATTCCCCAACACACCCAGGGGAAGTGGAACAGTACAAAAAATACTGGAGTTGGCTTGTCTTGATATTTGGAAATATTCAGATGGGGTTGTCCATGTTTCCTGTACCCTTAAAAATAACCGAGCAATGGAAATTGATCCCCTGGCACACTCTTGGTGTTCCCCCTCTTAGGAGCAAATACAAGAAAATCTTTAAGTTTGGTGCTGTGAGTCAGTGCAGCCTGACTGGTGTTTGAAGCATTATAAGCAAGTTTCCTATATGATGAATATCCAAAATTAAAAACTGAAATGGAAAACACTTAAAACCAACTTTACCTTGGATAAAATATTTCTGGAGCTGGATCAAAGGAAAACAAAAAGCCTGGCTTACTTGTCAGATCATATCTGCACTGAACTTCAAGGTTTGATTTGTATTATTTACATGGAAAAGGTCCCAAGAAACCAATTTGGCACTAAATATCTTCATTACGTTTTTTCGCTTGTATGGGTGATTAAATCAATCTGGGGTTCCTGTTTTAATTTTTTTTGAAAGGTGCAGCCATCTGTGAATTGAGGAACTTTTCTGATGTCATCTTTGTGTTTCAGACATACTTTCCCCCCTCCTTTTAATAATTTTTTTTGTAATAAGGAAACTTTTAAAGGAGCATGTTTGCTTTACTATTAGATTTTCTAGCTGTCCTTCCAGTAACTGTTTAGAATTAAGGGTATATAATAACTTTTTAGAACATTTTAACTGTTACACCTGCAGGTAACAGTAAACCAGATTAAAATATAACCAAGTCTGTCTATTAGTCTGCCTGTTCCTCATCTTGCATTTATCAGCTTGTTCCCTGAATGCTGTGTGTGAAACTCAGCACATGTATTTTGTACCATACTATGCACAGCAACACTGTGTGGTTTTACACCTCAGAGTAAGTGAAGCCTGTCCTTTAAAGTCAATGTAAATGTTGCCACTGACTTCTCCTAGACCAGGGTTCCACCTTC